GTGATGACAGTTTTGGGGGTGCTCTAACGTTAAGTTGAGGAATACAAACATAGTTATTTATTTTTGTCTTGGTTTCTGATCGCGGAATTCCTGTTTTTAACTTTCATGTCAAAGTTTTAACTGCGCTAGTAGCATAAAATAATTGCTTCAATATTCAATATTCATACGTAATTGTAACAAATAAATATGGTACTTAGGTTGCTGAAACTACCTGCATAAAAAAATCTGTATTTTATTAAATGATTATTCGGAGATCGTGAGATGCGGTCTGGTGTGACGTAGGTTTTAGAAAAACATTTTCTTTATCGTGCCAACGTTTCGATCTTTATTGAGACCATCTTCAGGGCCTAGGATTTATAAACATGGTTTAAATTTTTCAATTACATGTAGGATGTGAAAAAATGAATTTATACAATGCCAGAAATTTTAGATTAAAAAAAAAAAGATTTCATACTTTGCCAGAAATTTTAGATTAAAAAAAATGATTTTATACAATGCTAGAATATTTTAGATTAAAATTCTAAAATCTTCTAGCATTGAATACATATATATATAAATTGGAAGGTTTATGGACCGACAAACAGCTGAGGTCATCGCCGGCCCTCCGTGTGTATTCCTTCTCTTTCCACTCTTTCTCGCGTGTTTTGTATTGAACTGCAGCCATTTGAGCATCTCGATCTGGTTGCTGACTCTTTGCTTTTACTTGTATATTACGTCGTTATTGTAAAATGCTAGCCTCTTGTTAGTACCTCAGGTTGTCAATTTAAGAATAGATACACAACATACAATACATAACATGTATATCGCCACAGACATAGAAGTCTGGTCACATTCACTCCCCCAGAGTACTCGATATTCCTCGGGGCGGGGTAAATAATCCCTTCCTTTCACGCTAATAAATTACATTCATCCTAATATATTAACATAAACACGACACAAACACTTCACACACTATACAAGCACAGCACAAACACACATAAACTATATACAGTTGAAAGTCCTTATAGCCCTGAGGTACCGGTACAGCGATTTGTGTCCGCTGCCGTGCCCCAAGACTACGCACAGGTCCGATGATATGCCAAAATATTGCCTATAAACATCGAGCCTTCTACAATTGAAAAGGTGCTCGACTGTATGCGTAGTCTTGTCAGTATGACCTTTTCCCTTTTTGACCCATTTTCCGTGAAACAGGGACCGACGTCTTCCTTAACCTGCCACAGTTTGGCCGGGTCATTTCTATTTTTCCGCGCCCAGCGGTTTTTCTATTATTCTTTTATCGTATTTGAAATTAATAACTTGAGATCCGCGGGGCGTATAAGTCGAGAAGCCTCGTGAGGTCCTCTGGCTGCTTCTTCGTTCCCAGCTCTCCCTATGTGGCCGGAAAACCACACCAACACGACCTTCTTCCCAACTGTATCGATCCCTTTTAATTGTTGTTTTATTTTGTTTACTAATGGGTCCATGCATTGAAAAAATTCAATTTTTTTTTTATCTAAAATTTTCTGGCATTGAATAAATTCATTTTTTTAAACCTCCAATTTCCTAGTAAATTAAATTTAAAATAAACGTCATTAGCTAAACAATTGAATTTTCAAATTAAACAAATACATGTAGGGGATATAATCAAAGACCAACTTAGAAAAACAGAAAAGCGTGTGAACTGTGGAATCTGGACACAAACAATCCAAAATCCTTGCGAGTTTGGAAAAAAAGAAAGAATAAAAGTTCTTGAAAATAAGAAGTAAAAGAGTCCTAATCTACCGGTCACTGCGAACTGAATGGGCATTTGAGGAAGATCGGTGTCCACCAACATGATACATGCAGATACTGCAAATAGGAAAAGGGACATCGATGAACCTACTCACAGATTGTGGTAGTATAACGTAGCCTTAGAAAAACTACAATAACTAAAACTGGCCATAATAATCAAAATCCTTGATGAATTTGGACGCCTTATGGTCTGAAGGTACACAACGTGGGATTTAATAGCTCTGAAAGAGGACAATATGCCAAATTCTGCATTCTATTTACCTCTAGACTGTCAACTAACGCCTTCAGTAAGCTATGATGCACACTCCGCATCACAGTTAGAAAGTGAAACATTAATATAACCCAAATTTTCGTTATTAAAAATAAAAAAATTTCTTTGCTTATTTTTTATATTTTCCTCTTCCTTTATTTTTATTCAGGATGTGGTAGAATCTTTTTGAACTTTAAGTCATTTTTTTTAAAGTGGCATTTGTTTTTAAATTTTTTGTATTATTTTATTGTATTTGAATAAATTACTTGAAAAAATGTGTTTTACAGTTCAACAAGCTACCTTCTTCAAATTATTTATATTATTCGACACATATAAACGAATAAACGTTACAATAAAAAAATACTGTTGTTAAGGAAAGCATTGTCTACCTTTTATTATCAGTTACCTTTTGTTTTTTGTTTTTTTTCCTTGACGAGGGTTCGCAACAGCAGAGGTCATATAAACCCTCAGGGTGCCGGTGTTTTTGATAAAAGCCCATTTGTAAGTATGTCGGGTTCGAATGCAGGGCCGCTGGAATCGAACCCGGGACCTTTACCTTACAATGATTAGCGCCGCGTCAAATACTAAACCTTGCAGCCACCGACGCCCCGATCAACCTTTACGAATAAAATGCAAATTTGCCTTGCTTATATTTCTTCAAAATTGTTTATTTATTTTTCCAGATTGTTAATAGTGTATTTTAACATCCCGTCGAAATGTTTACATTATTCAACAGAGTTGGGAAATTTTCGTAGACGCTTACTGATTGGTAAAGAGAAAACGGTAAATATCAAACGAAAGTACATATCAAACAAGAAGTTGTTATTTTACTGATGTACACATTATTAATTAATAGACTTTAAAAACTTTCACTCTGATCAGGCTGCAAAAAATTAATTTCGTAAATTATACAGGCAATTTGTGTTCGTCAGAAACAGAGATGTACTTGGCTGATATCACGTCTTGCGTTTGTCTTTTTTTGTGTTTGTTGATAATGAATTTATTTAATAGTGTTAATGTATGAGAGTACTGATGAAAGAATCGTATTTAAAATATCGTGCTCGGGTTGTGCAAGAGATGATGTAGATATATCGAGTAATCCAAGTCCCTAAACTAGTAAATGGTGTATGATTATAATGAATATGGAGACTAGAAAATAAAGGTATTTTTGTTCCTAAAGCCTTCTGGCTTATGTACTTTTCCTAGTTTCTTAATTTTGTGCAATCAGCTCGACCCTTCTTTAAAGAGTACAAGGTTATTTCGCGGACACAATTCCTGTTCTTGGGTTTTTTTGAATCCCAGGTTGTGTCTCCATTGAGCCGTTGCGTTGCTTACCATACCAGACGGTATTGATGGCTGTTCTTCACCATTGCATATCCTACAATTGAGGATCATCTTTGAATACTCATGATATCTAGATTCTTTTTCAAACGAACTGATTCATTTCCAGCCTTTCAATCCAAGAAACTGCGGCTAAGGTGGAGTAAATGGTGCATTCAGTGAGGAAGTGAAACACATTGTCTCTAACTTAGCAAAAAGTCAGAGGTCCTTCTAACCAGGGGGTGTTATTTAATCCTTATTAGCATGCGCCTTATTTTAATCACCGACCTCAAATCACCCAAGTTCATATTGGATTAAAATCAGAACCAAGCAATAGAGTAATGTATGATAAAGACATTTTATTTTATACAGATTTATACAGCTGAACGCGACGTGATGCCAGAGCAAGCGCCACAGATACTTCTCAGTGTTGCGCTGTCTTTTTAGGAAAAACCGAATCAAGATTATTCTGTCAATTAATTAATCTTTAATTAGGGTTTTGGTAGAGATAAAAAAGTCAGTGTAACGAGCGAGGAACCCACGACCTCTGAGAGGTTTCACTACTGTTCTCCGTGGCCATTTCATTTGCCGCCGAGAATCAAATATATTACACGACATTTGAAAAATGGCAAAAAGGAGGTAAAATTCAAAAGGTGGGGTTGAGATGGAGAGTTCGTGTCCGGGAGGATCGAAGTCACGATAGCTCAAGTGGTAGAGCAACGGCGTATTTAGCCGAAGGTCGTGGGTTCGAATCCCGCTCGTGACACTGACTTTTATTTCAACCAAATTAAAGATTAATTAATTGATAAGAATTTATTCGGTCAATAGAACCACGAAACCTAATATTTTGTCATTCACTGACATTATTAGATCTGAAGTTATATGGGTGGAATACTTGGTGACTAGTAGACAGTGTGAAAATCAGAGCTACTGCTTTTTATTATCTCAAGGGCAGAAGAAAGGGGGGATATTTATTTCAGGCCTTAAGAACACATTTATAATTCTGTGTATATCTTATAAATAGGTCCGTAGAACTGCACAATTTTTTTAGACTAATAAAATGTACAAGGAGGCCTTTACAATATGTAACTAGACGTTTATGAGGAACGGCCAACGAGCGACTTGATGTAAAATCTGTGATATTTCTCAACTATATTTATAAATCAAAACATGACATCTATAGAACTATACAGACCTGCAAAATGCATTAACTATAGTGAATTTTTCCCAGAAATCCTTTCATATTTCAGGCCTTTTTTCAGGACATATTTTCCTTTGTAAACACGATTCTCGGTTAAAAACGAAACATCATAAGCATACAATAATGCTTATGCCAACCCGAGCACCACTTTTAAGTACAGAGGGCAGGTCCTCAATGAAATGTGTAATTACGCTAGGCCTTAATATATATTCGTGCCTACCTTCAAAACTGATAGGAAAAAAATAAGAAATTCCTTCTTTAAACCTAACAGCAGAAGATTCCATTTCAAATTAAAACGGCAATAAGAAATTTCACAAAATATTTTAACCTTAAGTAGAACAATAATGTTGGCTGTGTCCCCAAAGGGTAGTATGACTGGAATTACTTTACTTTTTTATTTGTCGTGTCTGACCGTGAACACCACAAATACATATGTTGTAAATAAAAACAAGCGGTGAATTGTAATAAAAACATTTTTATTTTTTAGGCTAATAAAATGTACAAGGAACAGCATTTATAACCATTTTAAACCCTGAAACCGGCCAAAGTAAGGTTAGTTAACTAAGTTTGAATGCTTGGGTATGCATCAGTTGTAGAGCCTTTTCACCAAATGTGGGGGTAAATACGCGTAGTATGAGTAAAAATCAAATCTCAGTAGTTCTATCAGAAAGATGGCTAGAGACCATTCTAACGTGGGTTGGTGAAAATGCGAGGTGTTGACAATCTTGATAGCTAGCCGGACGGGGGAAAAACCTTTATAATTGATTGTTTAAAAAAGTTCATTTATTGAGACAGCGCGAGTTTGGCTACGTGCTCTGCTTGGGCTTTGAAAAGTTTCTGCTTAGCTTCTTCCACTTCAGGACTGTCTGGGATGTAGGCGGGAGCAGGCTGTTTTGGCAGATTTGTCGCCAAAACCCTAAAACCTCCGTGAGGATCAGACACATATGCGGCGCTCTGTACAAGTCCGTACGCGTCGACGTAAGAATATCCTGAAATTTAAACAGTTTATATCATAACTTAATAATCATACAAGAAAATGATTGGTTACGGTTTTACCCCCTTTTGTCGTTCCGTCGAGAGATTTTTCCTCGTGCTTGGCGGATGGGCCACCTGAGTAACCGTAGACGTACTGGCCGAGCTCGTCTTGAGCGTGGTACTGGGATGCGACGTGGAATGGCACAGCTGGCCCTACGACTGATACGACTGGTCCTGAGACCACTGATTTCGTGACAACCGGAGAGGACACGGCCGTTTTTGTAACAACGGCTGGAGCTACAGGTGCAACAGCACGGACTGGAACTAAAGCAGATGGAGGATGATGAGCGAAAGTTCCAAAAGATGCTGGAGCAACAACAGAGCTGACGACTGGCCCAGCGGCGGGTGCCAAAACTGGCACTGGACCTGCGACAGAGACTGAAGCCGGAGCTTTGTGTAATACTGCAAATTTTTGGGCATCGAGCACGTTTTGAGCAGCATTTCTTGCCTGAAATGTACATACTTTTTTATATATAATGAATGTAAAATTAAAGATCTTTCACCATTACAGCATGTTAATTGCTATTACATTTTAACATCTTAAAAACACAATCTACCTTAACTTCTTCCACTTGACCTAGATGATATTTTCGGGCAGCTGATACTTCTGGCAAATCTGAGACAGGTGCTTGACCGTCGGTTTCGTTGGCAGCTTCAGATGCTTCGGAATCTCCTGGTTCGACCGGCTCCTCTGTTTTCTCTGGTACTTCTGCGGAAACTTCGGGAAGCACTTCTGCGCCAGCATAGGTTTCTTTTTCTGTTTCAACAGACGAAGTAGCTACAGAAGGATCAGCATTGTCAGTATCGACGGTTTGAACAGGAACTGCAGGTGCTACAGAGCCTGCTAGTGCAGGAGCTACACCTACTGCTGGTACATGTGCTACAGCCACTGCTGGTGCATGTGCCACAGCCACTGCTGGTGTAGCAGTAAGTGCAAATGTAGGTGCAGGAACAGCTACAGCAGGAACAGACACAGCGACTTTTGTTTTGTCCGGAACAGCAGGCCCTACTGGAAGGTTGGTAGCTGCCACTCTAAACCCATTTACTGGATCTGAGACGTATGCCGCGCTTTGGACCAAACCATTTCCATCAACATACGAATAACCTGAAAATATTGATATCTAGTTTGCGTAACTACAAAGGATAAACAAAATTAACTACATTGAGATTAAACTGACCTCCCCTTGTTACCCCGTTTAGGGACTTTTCCTCGTGTTTCGCAGACGGACCGCCACTGTAACCGTAAACGTATTGCCCTAATTCGTCTTGAGCATGGTACTGGCGAGCAACATGGGGCACCAATACTGGAACACTGGGAGCGCCGAACGTCGGTGCCAATCCAAAAAGTAAAACAGCAACCTGGAATGTACCAAAATTATAAGAAAATTTCATTCGAGCGCAAAATTGACCGAACGACGTAGCCAAACACGATTTAATTTGGGATATTTAATAAACGGTAAGTTGTTGACATATCCATAACCAGACTAAATAAAATAGAAACAAATAGAACCAACAAATAGAAATTAAACAACTGAAAAATGAAGAAAATAAATTGAAACGTTGTCTTATACTGTAGAAACAACACAAATTAACTTGTCGACAGCTCACGCAAGGAAGCAATTATCGTCTCCTGTTTGGTTGTCTGCACTTCAGCACATTACAGACTTTGTAGCAAATAGACTCAAGAAGTAGATTAAAAATAGTATATTGCACAATTACAAGATGAATAAGAAAAATGAATTCGAGATTCGATACAATAAAAAAGACTATGAATAAGCTATACGTAAGTTCAATATAATTATTGTTCAGCCTTCCTCATTCCAATTTTCATTTAAGGATAAGGCTCATTAGAGAAAAAAATGGGCCTTCGTCGAACATTCAAGGAAAATGGCCACTTCATCATGATTATAGAACTTACTATTTACTAATTTAAACTAAATAAACACGTTTAATCAAATATTTTAAATATATGGTTTCAAGGTTATAGGCTATGCCGGGGTTCAAAACCCACAGCCGGCTATCGTTGCTATATAAAAGTCGGACATATGGAACCATTTGACCGCTGCGATGTGACTGTAGACATTTGTCGTGTTCTATTCCTCGGCCCTGTTTCTCAATCCGAATTCCTTCATTCTATCCTGTGACCCCTCCTAACCCTTGGTTACAAGGGGGGTATCCGGGCACAAAATAATGGTGTAGCCTAGAGGGCGTGGCAACCTCTCTAAAGCACAAGCTGTCTTATGTCGGCCTCAGGGTCGGCAGGGGCGTCGGGTGCCGTAGCAGAGTCACACGAGGGCCAGTGCGCCAGATCCTGTCTGCAAAGACGGGGGAGGGTTGTATGGCCATCTGTACCACGGGGTGACAGAAATGTTCCAGAATCCGGCCCTCTGTCACATTGGGAACGGATTCGTGGTGGCTTGTGGTGACGCCCCTGGCCGGAACTTAGACAGAGGCTGTCTTCTATCTGGGACCTTTCGTGAAGCTTGCGCATTGCCAGCGTATTACCCCCCGTTCCTCACGGGAGACGTTGTGACCGGACGACAGCATGTAAGCGTTGAGGACGTCATGATCATGCTACAGTCCCTGGGTGCGTGAGTAAGCGATTGGAAAAGGGTAGTGCAATCGGCGGTCTTTGACTCGAGTATGCTTTGCATTGTTGTGCGTATGACCGGCGTGGTACCCTTGGGGAAGCAAAGGATCGGACCACCTAGGCTAGACCTATGGCGTCCCTCGATTACGTGCAGCAGGTGTAGGCTGAGCTCGATAAGAGACCTTTGACCGTAGACAGTGCTCATCTAGGGGGTGGGTAGCAATCCCACTTTATAATCCGAAACCGCTGTCGGGGCGTTCCCGAAAGTTTCTACGCTGGAGGAGCCTCTACACTCAGAGAGATAGAGTCGCCTTCTCTATCTAGGGAGTACACGGGAGACCGGGCTGATGTATTTCGGCTTAGGTAGCGCCCCCTAGCCCAATGCAGGCCCGAACACCACTCGGAATGGACAAGCGGGGAGGGAGTTTGTCTTGGCCTTTGGGGCTGAGCTGCCTCTACACTAATACTGCGGCAACACACTTCTGTCGTATGCGGAGGTCAGAAGTCAGAGCTCTCATCTTGAGAATCAAAAAGTCTGATAAGGCAGGAAGACTAGGTGCGGACGTTAAAGATCCTCATTGTCTTTTTAAGGACGACTGAGTATACGGGACAGACTGTAGACATTTGTCCGAATATGTCACACCTGCGAATATGCCTGCATTTCTAGGCTCCAGAATAATTACTTTATTAAGTAAGCTGTAAAAATACCAATACCTAAATTGTAAAACTGGACATTATAAAATACAAGCTTATTTGAGAAGTTTCAAAGTTAATTAAATTTATGAATTGATAATTAAACTCAATAAGTTATGCTCTTATCCTGAGTGAATCTGCAATTTTGTACCGCTGCAATGCACTCTATATTTTTGCCATGTCCTGATAAAATTTAGGTCGTTTTTAAGTTATCTGAAAGTGCATTCCCTCGTGACGTTATAGACGGAAAGATTGATTCTGTATTATGCTGTCGAAGTAATTCTCCATTTTATGATTTTTTTTTGTTGAAAAGCGTCTTCATAACTATTTACTACTTAATTTTTAACCAAACTGTTTTGCATGCTGGACTGATGTCTCCTTCCATGCGCTTTTACTCAATTCTCAAAGACAATTCATGTTGGTTTCTAGTAGCTCGTCTTTTCCAATCATCGGAATATTATTTTGCAGTATTTTCGTTGTGCAGTATTTATGTTAATACATACAACATTTTCCGGTGTAGCCAACAATATGGTTAGTCATTGCAAAAGTTTTCGGATAGCAAGAGGTTCCGCTAGGTCATTGGGGCAATAGCGACCAACCTGAAGTTTTGAACTTAGATAAGTGCTTTCTCATTTTTTATAGGTAACAAAGGCACCGCCCACCTGATTTTCCGTCAGGATAAATATTAAGTGTGGCCTCTTCGTTCTTATTACAAGTTATGTCGGCCCATGTATATCAAAGTTGTGAACTTTTTAAAAAAATTATGTACATGATGCTCATTCATTGCTGATTATACTATTTCACGGACAAATGCAGACTGCTAGAAATGAAATTGTTCTGAATCCCGTAGAGATTCTTAGCAGACACAGGCGTAGTGCAGACCGAATTTTACCTTTTTTAATCTATCCTATCTACGTAGCTATTTTCTGCTATAGCTGTTGTCCTATCACTCTATTGATCTATCTTTTCTATCCCACTTTAATAATCTAAATTATTCGTCTTTTATCCTTGTTTCATTTTTAGTATTTACTTTGTTTCTTCCATTCTCCATATCAGTATCCCACATTCAGAGCTTTTGTCTGTCTCTCTGTCTGTCTGTCTGTCTGTCTGTCTGTCTGTCTCTCTCTCTCTCTCTCTCTCTCTCTCTCTCTCTCTCTCTCTCTCTCTCTCTCTCTCTCTCTCTCTCTCTCTCTCTCTCTCTCTCTGTCTCTCTCTCTCTCTCTCTCTCTCTCTCTCTCTCTCTCTCTCTCTCTCTCTCTCTCTCTCTCTCTCTCTCTCTCTNCCCTCACTCTCTCCTCTCTTTCTCTCTCTGTGGGTGGGTGTGTGTGTGTGTAAACGTTATTGAATTTCATTAGAATTTTTGGAGGTTAGTTCAGCTGGTCTTTGTGATGAAGAAACAAAAATTCTAATATGATTATTGTCAGGTCGAGAAAAACTCTAACTTTAATAATTTTATGTCCCCTTTTTTTCAGGTTTATATAGTTGGTAAATAAAGACAATAATGTACGGTACAAGATGATGTACAATTGTACATTCTTTTCAATTAATTAATCTTAATAAAGGCTTTTGGTTGAGATAAAAAAAGTCAATGTCACAAGCGGGATTCGAACCCACGACCTTCGGTTAAATACGCCGCTGCTCTACCACTTGAGCTATCGTGACTTCGATCCCCTCGGACACCAACTTCCCATCTCATCCCAATCTTTAGAATTTTACCTCCTTTTTGCCATTTAAAAAAAAAATTCAGAAGGTACGGTTCGAATCCCGCTCGTGACACTGACTTTTTTATCTCAACCAAAAGCCTTTATTAAAGATTAATTAATTGAAAAGAATTTAGTTGATCAAGCGGACCACGAAACCTAATAATTATAAATTTTATTGGGAAATGAATATTATTTTCAGTCATAATTTTATTTATAAATTGCCCCTTGAGTTTTGTGTGACATGAGATCTGCAGTTCGGACATATCCGATCATTTTGCTTTGCCTACCCTATCTGTTTTAGTCTTCCCAATGCATGAAGTTTCTTCTTCAGTGGTGGGTTTGTTATGTGTTTTATGGATGAGTTTTTATGCGATTTTTCGGCCAATTTTTTAATTTAAATGCAATATCTTAATATTGTTTTCTTGGAATGGTAACTTGTAAAATCATAAAAGGAAATATTAATTTTTTGAAACATTATTATTATCGTTAAGATATTACTTTTTATATCATAAGTAACTTTTTATCTTAGTATTTCTATACAAAACACTAAAAGATAACAAATAGAGGAGGAAGTAAAAAGTATTTAGTTTTCTAGAGCAACAATGTAAGATATACATTCATCACACTTTAATACTGCGCAGAGCTTTTTGGAAAAGTTAATATTTGGAATTTTAAACATTTCGAAATTGTCAAATTTATGTAGTGCACAATTTTTAATGCAAATTGGCTAAGATTGAGCAAAACTTGCACTTTAAGTGCTTTAGTCATAAGACAAAATAGAAAAAGTTTTTGACCATGGCAAGTTGTGGCATTAGTCGTATAAAGCCTACATTTGTTACTAATCAGACATTATTTACAAAATAAAATAATCGTATTTTAATAGCACATATTTAGTTTTATTGCACTGGAAATCATTTTCACTATTTCTCTCTCACTCGCTCTCTCTCTCTCTCTCTCTCTCTCTCTCTCTCTCTCCCTCCCTCTCTCTCTCTCTCTCTCACTCTTTCTTTCTTTCTTTTAAAAATAAAAGTAAATAGAAGTAACCACTTATTTATTTATACTATACGTTTATCGTTAAAAAAAAATTCGTACCATACCTGGCATTTCTTACTATTTTAATTGACTAATCTTTCATACATGGCCCTAATAAAATTATGAAAAAAAGAAAATAATTTTCCTGCTTCGTGTTTCAGGAGGCATTTTAGTTTACTATTTTTCAATTGAAGAAGGAAGTGAACTACGCCCAGACAAAAAGGAGAAACAACATAAAATAGCGGTCTAACTAAAATCTGTCGTTAACATAACGGAACTTACCTGTGCTATCATCATAGCGGTGCAGATTTGTGACCAGGACTCGCCTTGATCTTTGTCTACTTATCATGACGCAGTCCTTGGACCTTGCCTTATATAAAGATCTCCCACTACCCTATCCACTGACGCAATACAGGACTAGAGGACACCGGTACCTTGCAGACATTTACCCGACTATTAATTACTGCATACAATATGACGCGAAATGTTGTGGTTTTAGATGATTGCGATTAGGAAAATAAATGTACTGAAAAGAACTAGAAAATTATATACTGCAGATTTTATTATAGTCATACGAGAAAGGACCTTTAAAAGATAAAATCGTCACTATTAATATTTAATTTGAAAAAACTTGTGTCTGTTTATGTTAAGCTGGTTCCAGATAAAAAATTGCATCTTGATCAAAATTTATTTTAAAAAAACATATATATATATAACTTAACTTCAATGTTGTGTTTTCCTTTCTGATGGTAATAATTCAAATTATTACTATGTATTAATAGATATAATATACAAGCTTTATGCTTGATCTTAATGAGATATGAACGTTAATTACCAAACAGGACAATATTCATAGTACATAATTGGGCTCTTAGACTCCGTAATGTAATCCAGAAACGCAGCTTTCGTGCCATTGCGATTTCCCTGTCATTTCGTCTTATTGAAAAAGGTCAGTTATTTGGTTTGAAAAGATCGATCATACATGACGGTCCAGTTATGATCATGCCCTTCCGCCCAAAGACCGGCTCTATAAAAAGAAACAATCAAAACAGAAAGGAACAAAAGACGGGAGGAATACCTTCTGCAAGCCCCCGAGATCGTTCAACTTGTATCTGAAAGTACAACGATCCCGATTCCTTGTCCACATCGTAAAGAGACACCATTGTATAATGCAATCTCTTAATATTGTTTTGAAGGTTTGTGTTGTAAAATCACAAAGGAAAATTCTAGCTTCTTTACTTTCATTGTTAATATTAAGAACTTTTCATCTCGTACTTACATATTTTTCTTAATATTTGCTATATAAAGTAGTAAAACCTAGCTGATAAAGAAGCACGAAGAAAATCTTTTGTATAGTAGAACAACAATTTATGATCATATATTTTTATAATTTTATATAACAGCACTTTTTGACAATTAAAAAAAACAACATATAAACAATTTAGTACTAAACTTCTAAGGAAAAATGACTATTAGTGAGGAAAATATTATTGCATTCGGTCTTACGACAAAAAGAAAAATATTTTGAGGATAGCAAACAAATTAACGCTCAGTTGGTTACCCAAACGATTTCTTGTTAGTAATCAACTCGTAAATGAAAGATATGAATGAAATAATTTTATTTTAACAGCAAATATTTATTTTTGGATAGAGGTAATTCATACATACCCACACACATATACACTTTTTCTCTCCCTCTCTTTCTTTCTCCCCCTTTCGTTCTCTAAAGGCCAATTTGTCCGCCACTCTTTATATCTCTCCAAATTAAAAATATGTACGTTCCACAATCATTTTGTTTGTTATTTTGTATTTATTTATTTTTGAAACACCGAACTTGTTGATTGTAAGAAAGATCAATATGACCTAAATCTGCGAGTATTATAAATAAAGCGTTCCAATTCCATTCTCAATCTCTCCCTCTCTCACTCTCTCTCACCCTCTCTCTCGCCCTCTCTCTCACTTTCTCTCTCTGTCTTTTTTCTTTCTTTTTCTTCATATCTCACACTATATTACTTTATATTATACGTCCAATGATTTTTCTTTCTCTCATCCTCGCAGTAACTCGCTCTCTCAATCTCTCTTTCTTTCTCTATATGTCGAATCTGACCACCTCTCTCTCATTTTCTCGTTCTCTCTCTCTCTCTCTTTCTCTTTCTCTCTCTTTCTCTCTGTCTTTTTTCTTTGTTTTTCTTCATATCTCACACTCTATTGCTTTATATTTTACTATATATTTCACTTTCATTGATTTTTTCCGTCACTCTCTCTCTCTCTCTCTCTCTCTCTCTCTGTCTCTCTCTAACTCTCTCTCTCTCTCTCTCTCTCTCTGACTCTCGATTTCTCTTTTTTCTATCATACCTTTTCACTCTCTTTCTCTCTCTCTTTCTTTCTATATATATTTATCTGTCCACTTCTTTTTCTCTTTTTGTCTCTGTCTTGCTTTCTCTATAAATTTATCTGTCCACCTCTTTTTCTCTTTTTGTCTCCCTCAGTCTTTCTTTTTTCTTTTTCCTCATATCTCACACTTTATTACTTTATATTGTACTATATATTTCACTCTCAATGATTTTTTTCCGTCACTCAGTCTCTCTCTCTCTCTCTCTCTCTCTCTCTCTCTCTCACTCTCTCTCTCTCTCACTCACTCTCTCTCACCCTTTCTCTCTCGCTTTCTCTCTCGCTTTCTCTCTCTCTCTCTCTCTCTCTCTCTCTCTCTCTCTGTCCTTTTTCTTTCTGTTTCTTCATATCTCACACTATATTACTTTGTATTATACGTCCAATAATTTTTATGTCTCTCTCCCTCGTTCTATTTCGCTCTCTGAATCTCTCTTTCTTTCTCTATATGTCGAATCTAACCACCTCTCTCACTCTCTCTCTCTCTCTCTCTCTCTCTCTCTTTCTGTCGTTTTTCTTTCTTTTTCTTCATATCTCACACTCTATTACTTTATATTATACTATACATTTCACTTTCATTGATTTTTTTCCGTCACACACACTCTCTCACTCTCTCTCTCTCTTTCCCTTTCTCTCTCGCTTTCTCTCTCTCTCTCTCTTTCTCTTTCTCTCTCTCTCTCTGTCTTTTTTCTTTCTGTTTCTTCATATCTCACACTATATTACTTTGTATTATACGTCCAATAATTTTTATCTCTCTCACCCAAGCTCTATCATTCTCTCTCTCTCTCTCTCTCTCACTCTCCCTCACTCACTCTGTCTTTCATTAATAGTAAGAAATGTCGTTCGCGATATAAGTTTTCAACAATTTTTAAATAAAACTATATCTATTCATTCATTTCAATATCTCTTTCCTTCCTTCTTAAATTGAAGGCGCCTACAGACATGAAAAGAAATCTGCGGATTCTGGTTCAAAGAAAGAAAATACAAATTAAATGTTACATCATATCAAGGTAATTGTGGCAAAAGATCAACAGGAAAGTTTCACTCCATGGTAACAAAATTTGATCAACAGCATACTAAACTGTATTTACATTCATTTTAAGACAGACATGGTGAAAATAGAGCACACCAGTTCTAACGAAACCTTCGCGAGAGCAAAGAGTATGTATCATCATCACATTCACACACAGTTACAACAGAAGATGAAATGATAATCGCAATAAAAATGCAAAATAAATCTATCTGGATGTAATATAACATAAACTAATTCATTGACAAATGGCCGCCTTATCGCAGGGTTAAAATATACATTAAAATAATCAGTATACAAACATTTAATAATAAATATTCAAGAAAAATACAATTAATTATTTTTGCATACAAAAATTGGTATAGTACAACCGGAATTGGGTGTATAAAGGAATAAATGATGTTGACTGCTTCATCAACCTCTCAAAAATGACTCATAGGGTAAATTGGGTCAAACCACCATGGCAACAGTTGGTTTAGTTTTAAAATACAAATGCTACAACCAATAGGTAGATATATGCCTGTCCTAGCGGTTATGGTCTATTAAACGATTTCAAACTTTCGTATCATCAGTAATCGTGTTTATAATAAAGATAAAGTGATCTTTAACTCTCAATTTTAAAAAAACTATCATAGTTGTAGATGTAGATGTGATATTTCAGGGTGTGGTATACTGCGCCCTTTGAGAGCAATTGTATCCCCCGTTCTCTGCCTAAAGCACATCGGTGAGTCCTATTTCATCAAGAAACTTGATTAATAGGCCCGGTTTCAGTGGTTGAAGCTCTTCTATGGTCACATTGTACATCCCAAAACACTTCCTCCTGCGGGCTAATGTTGCTCCGGAGTTTGGTAGTAAGTGTGTTGGTGTCTCTTCTGCTTCTTTGCAGAATCTACATGTGCCATCTTGGATTATTTCAATTTTCTTTAGATGTCCATTTAATCTACAGTGTCCTGTCAGAAATCCTGTGAGGATTCGCAGTCTGTTCCTGCTTCCTTTGACACATTCTGTGATTTCTTTCTTGCCAAAATTGGTTAGAAGATTCTTGGATTGGCTATGTCCAATAAGTGAATTCCAAAGTTCTCTCATTTTCTTTTTGTCATTCTGTCTGTGATATTTGTTAATAGTGTGGATTCCTATGCCACAGAAGGGTTCGGGTCCTATCAGCGGTGTGGCAGCCCCTTTCCTTGCAAGGATGTCCGCTTCTACTCCCATGTGTCCTGGGACCAACAGAGGCTGACTTTATTCTGCATACCTAATATATTTACTTTGGTTTTGCAGTTCAGCACCATCTTTGAACTAATGGTATTTGAGCTTAGTGCTTTGATGGCTGCTTGGCTATCTGACCTGAGAGCTATATTCTTGTTTATGTATCTTTTATTTAGAATGAATTGGATACATCTTTCAATTGCGTGAATCTCAGCTTAGAAGATACTGGTGTGTTTTCCCATGCGTTCTGAGGATTTGGTGCCGGGTCCAAATACTCCTGCTCCAGTACCTTCTTGTGTTCTAGATCCATCTGTGTACCAAAGGATGGTGCCATTTTTAAAGGAGTTATTTCCCTTTCCTTCCCATTCCTTTTTGGTGCCCAGATGTATTCGGAATTTTTGGTTAAATTCAAACATCCTGTTCATGTCATCTCTTGGAGCCATGAGTGATGGATGGTTTTTCCACAGTTTGTTTCTGTCTCTCCTTTTCAGTTTTATTCCTGTTGGAGGTTTCTCTCTAATAAAGTTGATTATGGTTTTCTGTGCTGTCCTTTCTACCATGTGATAAAGGGGGATTAGTCCCAATATCTTTTCCATGCTAATTGTAGGACATGTTCTCATTGCTGCCGTTATGCAGATGCATGGAAGTCTCTGTATTTTTGTGAGTTCTTTCGTTTTGGTTATTTGTTACGCTTTATCAGCCCAGGCTATAGCTCCGTATGTAAGTAAAGGTCTT